CCCTTTACAACAATTAACTCAAAATGAATTATAGACCTTAATATTTGTATGAGTGCTAATGATTCCCCACATCCCAGAGCAGAAAGCAAGGAGCAGAAACAGTGCTGATGTGAGGTACTTTGAATTGCATCTACTAAAGCTAGTTGAGGCCAGTGCAAAACTGGTTCCTGCAGTTGTGGCTGAAATAAGAGATGAGGCTGAGAAAACTTAAAGTGGTGTCCAAGCAGTGTCTCATATAGTTCTCAAGGGAAGAGTGCTTCTGTCTGGGGATGTAACAATGGTTTCATTGAGTTGAAAGTTGAGACTACCACCTGGCCAATTGCATGAAACAATACGCAAACAATATGCAGTCATTCTGTCTGGGATGGTTGATACTGATTACCAAGGGGAAACGTGGTTAAATTACACAACTGGAGCAGGGAGGACTATGTCTCAAATCCTAGCGAATTCTTTGGATGCCATCTGGTATTAATATTTAATATTTCCACATGCAATAATAAATGTTAATGAAACATATAACAACTCAGTAAAGCAAGACTAATGAGGACGCAGACTCCCTAGGAATGATGGTTTACATCACATCACTATGTGAAGAACCTCATCCAGCTGATAATGGCCAGGGGCGAGGGGGGGCATGGAATGGGTGGTGGAAGAAGAAATTGAAAATGTCAACTGTGACCTTCTGATCAACTACAGGGACAGGAAGAACATGGCATTAGGAGGTAATCTGACACATGTGGAGAGTGGTTGGGATAATGGTTGTGGTGGGTGCTATTTAGTTTTCCTGGAGAGGGAAGGAGCTAAAAGTAACTGAACAGGGTGGAAATATGAATTTCTTTTTCTATCTTTTCCTGAGGAAGAACTAAACATGATCTGGGAGAATTTGTCTTTTCTCTGATCCTGTCCTTTCTATGTATCTCCATATGGTTGGGTCATAGAAGTCTGATCCTTGTTAGGGCATGTTTATCTCTTCTGGGGTATTTTTGCAAGGAGTTGAATTTTAGCAAGAGACTACCACTTGGAAATCTTTACAAAGCATGTATCTCTCATGGTGGTAGTCTGCTTCAGGACCACGGATGGTTTCTTATGTGTAAACGTTTATGCTCCTGAGATATTTTAGACCATTCACAGTCTGGTTACAGCTTACTTTTATGGCTTCTCCAATGATTCTTCTTTACCTTCCAAAATGTAGGCTCCAGTTACACGGCCTACTCTCTATTCCCTCAGTAGGCAGTGATTAAGCATCCTTCCATGAGCTTTTCTCTATCCCCACCTTCCCCCAAAGAATAGAAAGGTATGATCAGCCACTGCTGCAGGAGTCTGAGAGAATTTGTGCTAGAGAAGTCCTGGGTAATTAGTTTTCCTTTAATGAGTTACTCTAATATCTGAATTCCTCTGGGATGTAGGGTCCCTTAGGCCCAGGGATGGGTAGAACAGGAGACATGAGGAGTGGGTCCAGTCCCAGGTGACAACTACAGAGGCTGTTACTTCTCATGCTTGTAATGAATAAAAGGGAGCAGGATCTCAGGTCAGGCCCTGGAGTTACCTCAGACACATTCAGTAAGTTGAGCAGGAGGTGGAATGAACTGATCCTTCATGTCCTTCCAACCTGAAGGCCTTGTTTTCCCGGATTGTGTGACATTCTTTAAAATAGTTTTTCAGATATGATAACTTTCTTTTTCTCCCTCTCTCTGCCTCCTAAGACTTGCCAACATTCTAGAAGTATTTTGACTACTATTTTCCTTTACAATTGTTGTTAATGAACACATTCATAAATATTATTTACTGCTCAATATAGTCTCACAAAATCCTATCATTTCAGTGTAATGACAGCTCTGTGAGACAGGCTTTAATGCAGTCGCCCTCAAGCCTTGTTTGTTTTATCTGTTAAGCTTTCAGAAAACTTTACATAAGCCTCCTTTTAGAAATTGTGATCAACTTTATCTGTACTGAGATTATAGCAATCTGTAATTGAAAAACAATATACGTCCTTGCCACTCACATGCAGTCCACGCATCATAGCATTGGCATCATCTGGGTGTTAATTAAAAATGTAGAATCTGAACTACAGAATCCCCAGGGGATTTGCGTGGACATCAAAGTTCAGAAGCACTGCCCTGGGTGACTCTTTTGTCCAGTCCAGAGTGAGAACTAGCAATTTAATAGGCGAGGAAGATGTGAAGTTCATTTCATCATTCTTGGCGGCATCTGCAAGTAGTATCTCTGGTTTGTGATTCCTAGTCATGCTCTTGACACCAGAGATGGGTTTCAGTCATTTACTAGGGAAGCAAAATTCTGAGAATCCAGGTGTGTGATGTCCACTAGATGTTTCTTCCCACCGTAATGCCAGTGCATAATGTCTGAGTGTAAAAACTGTTATGGACGCTGTATTAAACACCACCAGCAGGGTGAAAATCCCAGAGGTTAGCCTCAGTTATGTATTTTGTGTTGAAGGAGCTTCCCACATCTCTTAATTTCCCTATGCTGCTTTCTTGGTCAGATTTGAGGCATAAAAAATTAGCTCAGGAGATTGTGAGGAAAGGCAAGCCTGAAGTCTGCAGGGCAAATCTGCAGGCTAGAGACCCAGGGAAGGTTGATGTTATAGTCTTGAGTCTGAAGGCAGTCTGGAGGCATAATTCTTTCTTCTTCAGGGTACTGTAATGAGGCTCACCACATTACAGAACATAATCTACACAAAGTCTATTGGCATAAATGTTAATCACAGTACAAAAACCTTCACAGCAACATCTAGAACTGGTGTTTGACCAAAACTTGGTACCAGGGTCTAGCCAAGTTGACACATAAAATTAACTGTCACATGGGGTATGGATATCTGAGTAAGGGCTTGAGGGTAGAAATTATCCTTCTTCTTTCTGTTTGTTCCAAAGTGTATAAAATTATCATCCTGTTTATTTTTTTCCATACCAATATCAATATCAATGACTTCATGTGGATTTGAGCAGAAGGGTGTTTAGTTTGAGTCATCTGCATAAGTGAAAAGAGTAGTATATTTGTGATACCATGATATTTTTTATGGGTGCAAAATTATATCCTTGAAGTTAGTAATAGAGAGTCAAAATTTAGTGCTAAATGGTTAAAACTAATGGGTTTTAGTTCTGGGAGGATTTAGTAGTAGTAGTTATTCTTAGTGGGAGTTTACTACCTTTAAAGTTGGAGGAATGCATGTCTCAGTCTGAAATACAGCCCGCAAATATTTATGAAATTTCAGCAATATCCAGGCACCGTGCCAGGTGCTGGCATGGCTGTGGTCATGAAGGCAGTCATGGCCTTTCCTGTATGGAGTTTATAATCTTGTAAGGAAGCCAACAATTAACAACTGGTCAAGGGCAATGAGTGCTCTTGGATGAGGACAGGATGCTGTGAAAACATAGCAGCATGTCTCCCCTGGTCTGCAGAAACAGGGAAGGTTTAGCTGAGCCAGTGACATGTAACATACCTGAAGGATAATTGGAGGTAGCCAGGTGAGGAGGGAGAAGAGGGAAGGAGGTGTTAGGCAGGAGGAACAGCAAGTGTGAAAGGCTGGAGGCAAGAAATTGTGACTTACAAGTCCAGCATTGCTGGAGAGAGGGGTACAACAGTCAGAGTCATTGTGGGACCAGATAAAGCTGTAGAGGTAGGCACAGGCCAGGTAATGAAACATCATTTGTGTTCTAGAAAGGAATTGGGTCCATCTTAAGAGAGATGATAATCCGTGAAGACTTTCAGCAGGAAATGATGCTCACATTTTCATCATGGAATGCCACAGTTTGAATGAAGTTTGTTGAAGGAGAAGGGTATTGAAGAATGGAGGCAGGGAGATGAATTGAGAAGTTGTTTCAATAGTCCAGGTAAGAGAAGATGTCATCCTGGTCTGGGGTAGTGGCTGTTGGGATGAGCAGTGGATGAATTAGAAAGAGTATGAAGTGTAGACTTGCTAGATTGGATGTTGATGGTGAGAGAAATGAATTAATGAAATGAAACTCTCAGGTTTCTGACTTGAGCTTGGATTCCTGTTACTAAATATGAGAGAGTGGAGGAGGTTGGGGTGGGAAGAGCAACAGGGTGAGGTCTGAGTTTCATTTGGGATCTGTAGAGCTGAAGATGCCTGTGGTACATCCAAGGGAAGACAGTCATTGAGATTTGGGGTGTAGATTTCTGTAAATTAGAGAACAGAATTTTAAATGGTAATTAAAGCCATTGGAGTAGATAAGTTTTTCTTGTGGATACATATAGAATTGTAAGAGAAAACAGTGTAGAAAAAGCCCTAAGGATTATAAACATGTAAGATACCGACAGAGCAGCAGCCAGTTACAGTTACTAAGTTACCTGGCCAGGTAGGTAAGAGAAAAACCAGCACGTTTTGTGTTTCAGAAGTAAGTAGATAAGAGTATTTTATAAAGTATGGAATATTGTTACACGTTAAAGAGAGATGAAGAAAATAAGTCATTTCTGATTATAGAGATTCCAATTACAGACATTTGTGGTATAGCAATAGTTATTGTGATGGCTGTTAAATAAACGATTTTTGCAGAACACCTTACAGACCATGTATCATATAAATATGTTCATTTTTAAATTCAGATTTTAAAGGATACTATTATTTTCCATTGAAGATGCTGGAGAGAGATTATGACAGGAAGGAATCAAACTATCTTCTCAGAGTTCCTCCTCCTGGGCCTGCCCATCAAACCAGAGCAGCAAAATCTGTTCTATGTCCTGTTCCTGGCCATATATCTTACCACTGTCCTGGGGAACCTCCTCATCATTGTCCTCATTCAACTAGACACCCATCTCCACACACCCATGTATTTGTTTCTCAGCAACTTATCCTTCTCTGACCTCTGCTTCTCTTCCGTGACCATTCCCAAGTTGTTGCAGAACATGCAGAGACAAGACCCATCCATTCCTTATGCAGGCTGCCTGACTCAAATGTACTTCTTCCTGTTTTTTGGAGACCTGGAGAGCTTCCTCCTTGTGGCCATGGCCTACGACCGCTATGTGGCCATCTGTTTCCCCCTGCACTACGCCACCATCATGAGCCCCAGGCTCTGTCTCGCACTGGTGGTGCTGTCCTGGGTGCTGACCACATTCCATGCCATGTTGCACACCCTGCTCATGGCCAGACTGTGTTTCTGTGTGGACAACGTGATCTCCCACTTTTTCTGTGATATGTCTGCTCTGCTGAAACTGGCCTGCTCTGACACGCGAGTTAATGAATTGGTGATATTCATCATGGGAGGCTTCATTCTCATCATCCCATTTGTACTCATCATCATGTCCTATGCAAGAATTGTCTCCTCCATCCTCAAGGTTCCTTCTTCTAGGGGTGTCCGTAAGGCCTTCTCCACCTGCGGCTCCCACCTCTCTGTGGTGTCACTGTTCTATGGGACAATTATTGGTCTCTACTTATGCCCATCAGCTGATAATTCTACTCTGAAGGAGACTGTCATAGCTGTGATGTACACTGTGGTGACCCCCATGCTGAACCCCTTCATCTACAGCCTGAGGAACAGAGACATGAAGGGAGCCCTGGGAAGAGTCATTTGTCAAAAGAAAATTCTCTTCTCTCTGTGATGGCAACATTTGTAATTATTGCATAGTTTATCTGGTAAAAATATTGATATTTATATTGGAATATTATTCTAGATTCTTTCCTCACCATGGAAACTCCTGTTAAAATGGCATACTACATAATTACTCAACATGTAAAGGAAATGAAGTGTAGCTGAGTAGTTGAACTAGGGAAGAGGGTCTTGGTGACCTGGCTAGGCCTTCCTTTGTCTTCCCCAGGTGATCCTGGAAAAACATAGTTTAAGAACTAATGTTTTAAATGATCTTCATGCCTTACAGTCTTAAATTAATTAATTTAATTTAATTGTTAAATTAAATTATCACAGGATTTTATTCTTTTACCCAGAACTCTGCTTTGACTGTGGTATCATTTTTCAATAGTGCTCTATAATCTTAGGACAATACTAAATAAGATCCAAACATCTCAACTTTTCAACCTTCCCATGAGTGTCTCCTACCTATTCTCCCTGCACAAATTTTCACATCACTTTATCTCTTAATTCTCCTCTACCCCCAATTTATTTTCACATGTGCATAGTCTTTTCTGATCTGACCTAACCCTAAATAGCTTTCTCTATTCCTTTTACTACAATAGTGTATTTACCACAGTAGTGTACCTCAGGACACAGAGGTCCTACAATTTATTTCCCCAGGAATGGGGAAAGAAGCTAGAAGCTGGTAAAAAGTTCAGTTTTTAAGAATGCCTCTCTTCCATTTGGTATTTTGAACTTTATGAAAGAACTTTATATTTATGTTTGTATTCTACCCTCAAGACAATTCCAAGGAAGTAGAGAAGATACTATCACAGTTTTACAGACTGAAAGGTGTGAAGTTCAATGACTTTTTACATCACACAGTGTGTCTGTTGTTGAGCCTATGTAAGATCCCAGACTGTCTGACTGCAGTTTCTCATTTTCTCCCATTTTAGAAAGAAGGGGAGCAGCTATTCTGTCTTAAACTCTTTTTTTTCTTAATTTCAAAATATTAAAGGAGTACAAATGTTTTTGGTTACATGTATCAATTTTGTTATGCTTGAGTCAGGGTTATAAGTGTGCCCATCACCCAGATAGCGTTCATTATGTTTTTTTAAACTCTTATCTCCACTTTTGGCATGGATAGGTTTCCAATCTTGTGAATTTGTCTCCTTAGTGTCCTCAGTGACGACATCCAAACCCATCACTGTCATCCTCTGATATATTCTGCTGACCTCCACATCTCTATCTAAAGCCCAGGCCTTTCTCCAGAGCTTCCAACTAACTGTCAGTCCCATCTGCCCAATGTAGATCTCCATTTGAGGTGCTATGGCTCCACTCAATCTCAACACGCACAACATGGAACTTTTTATATTCCATCCAAGTCTGCTCTTTGTCCTTTGTTCCATATCTTGATTTATGATGTTACTTTTCACCCAATACCTGATCAACCACTTCTGTATAGGTATATCTTACAATATTGTATTTTGCCTTTTTCATTTAACATTTCCTGAAATATTTTGTCATTTTCCATGTGGTCATTAAGGTAACACCAGTTTCATAATGGATAAACTCTAAAATCTCAGTGGCGTAATACAGCAGAGGTATCAACCGAGGAGAGAAGGTAGGTATGTATGGAAGTGATCATTGGATGACATAGACAGTGGTGATCAGGTGCTATCGTATTTGATTCTGACAACTGTTTTAGTTGGCCATATACTGCAGAAGATAGAGAAAGGGGTTATTAGTGTGAGCCAGAGAAAGCATTTTTGAGACTGTCACACTTGAGGTGAACCCAGAATTCTGTCTCTGGACATGATTTATTCAGATATGTGGCTCAGGAGAGTGCAGGGGTAAGTGGGTGGGGCAAGTACTGGGTTTGTTACTCATGAGTTTCTTTGGGACCCAGTATCCCAAAGGTCAGGGCACTGTAGCAGGGAGGAGTCAGAAGACAGTGGCAGGGGCTCTGGCTGCAAATACTCAGCATGGAAGCAGGAAACAGGAAGCAGACTCTAGAGCCACACTTAGATAAGCTGGGTAAGCTGGGAGGGAGTTCAGAAGAGTTAGTCATTCGAATATCACCTTTAACAGATATTAGTATTCCACAGTGAAATTCTTGTAGGACGATTTAGAAGTTATCATCTTCATTTTTTTAATGTAAAAACTTTTAGAAACAAAAATGCTATTTAAATATGTACAACCTTAAAAGAGAGATATAAAGTTTTTTTCCAAAGTGGTTTTACAATTTTATTTTTTTTTCACTGTTAACAGTGACTCCCATCTCCAAATGTAATTGGGGATCACCAGAGCTGTTAATAAAAACTAAATAAATTGTGTGTTTGTAGAGTACTTTATACTTTTCAAGTATCAGTTATTTATACCCACAATTCTGCGAGGTGTGTTAGATTCACTGAAGGTGAAGTGTAAGGTTGGAAAAGTTCAGCAATGTGCCAGGGTTACAGGCCAGTAGATGATGGAGTCTGACTCCTCTGGACTCCTGAATATTTTGTTTAGGAGCTGGGTACATCGAGTGTAGGAGACCATCTTGGGAGCTCCTTTCCATGAAGCTAGTTTTCCTCACCCTCATTTAAGCTGTCCTAATATTGGCGTCTTCATTTTTTTTTTAACCTGGAATGCATCGTTTTATTTTATTTTATTATTTTTAATTCATTATTTTTTTTAAATTTCAGAGTATTATGGGGGTACAAACGTTTAGGTTACATATATTGTCTTTGCACTGCCCGAGTGAGAGCTACAAGTGTGCCCATCCCCCAGACAGTGCACAGCACACCCATTAGGTGTGAATATACCCATCCCATTCTTCCCCATCCCACCTGCCTGACACCTAATGAAGTTTACTTCCATACGTGCACTTAAGTGTTGATCAATTATTACCAATTTGATGATGAGTATATGTGGTGTTTGTTTTTCCATTCTCATGATATTTCACCAGATGGTTTCACACCCAAATTCTACCAGACCCACAAAGAACTGATGCCTGTTCTGTAGAAATTATTCCACAACATCAAGAAGGAAGGAATCCTCTCCAACACATTTTATGAACCAACCATCACCCTGATACCAAACCAGGAAAGGACTCAACAAAAAAAGAAAACTACAGGCCAATATCCCTTATGAATACAGATGCAAAAATTCTCAATAAAATTCTAGCAAATCGAATTCCATTGCTCATCAAAAAAATAATCCATCACAATCAAGTGGGCTTCATCCCAGAGTTGCAGGGATGGTTCAACATATGCAAATCTATAAATGTAATTCACCACATAAACAGAAGTAAAAACAAAGACCATATGATCCTCTCAATAGACTCAGAAAAACATTCCACAAAATTCAGCGCCCTTTTATGATAAGAACTCTTAACAAAATAGGCATAGACAGGACTTACCTCAAAATGATAAAGGCCATATGTGACAAACCCACAGCCAACATCATACTGAATGGAGAAAAATTGAAAGCATTCACACTTAGAACTGGAACCAGACAAGGTTGCCCTCTATTACCACTTCTATTCAATTTAGTGCTGGAAGTCCTAGCCAGAGCAATCAGACAAGAGAAGGAAATCAAGGGCATCCAAATGGGGACAGAAGAGGTCAAACAATCACTCTTTGCTGACGATACGATCTTATATCTAGAAAACCCCAAAGATTCTGCCAAGAGACTACTGGAATTGATAAATAAATTCAGCAAGGTCTCAGGTTACAAAATCAATGTATGCTAATGATGGTGTTTTAAACTAGGGATAGATTCAATTCATATGTTGAGAGAAAATTCCTGCTATTTGGGTTCCAATCTGTCTCTTCTGGGTCAGTAACTTCTTCCATCCCATGGTGCTCCTCCACACCTTCTCTGTTAGCTCTGAGGTGCAGATTTCATTGGGCTGGGGATGGATCAGGGTAAAGGTACTTGGAAAAATATTACATCCACATCACAGAACTTAATGACCACAGTAGTAAGTCTTACAAATGCCACAACAAACTTAGTCTCACTATATGGCAAGTTTTTAATTTTTCTACATGGATTGTTTTATATTTTCTTCCTATGGCATGATGACTTAGGTTTGCTCCCATTAGACTGATGAGAGAATTCAAACTAAAAGAAGTTAAGTTTCTTGGCCAAGGTCATGAAGCTGGTAGGGGTGGAGAGATGTCAACGCAGGCCAACTGGCTCCAGGGACCTTGCACTGACCTACTGTGCATGCCATACTGAGCCCTCCCAATTTCAGCTGCATTCCTGATATCCCCCGGAAGTGTTTTTCATTTCTATTTCCTTCTAATTCTTACTTCCCTGACTAATGTCCCCCAGGGTCATAAAGTCTTAACAGCAAAAGGGGACAAGATTTTCACGTGGTTGGGGTAGTATTTAGATAACAAGGAAATCAAAGTAGAGGAGCCATTTTTCCAGAAGTTCCAGTGCCAAGAATTGGACCTAAAGCTTTGGGAGTGACACAGGAAAGTGACTCCCAATGCTGGGAGCCACTTGAAGTCTAAGTGGGTCCTTGGCATCACAAAAGAAAGAATTCAGGAGTGAGCCGACAGTGTAAAGTGAAAGTGAGTTTTATTTAGAAAGTATAGAAAACCTACCTCCACAGACAGAGCAGAAGCTAGTTCTCCCTGCAGAGGAGAACCAGCCCCATGTTTCCTTTATTCCCTCTATTTAAGCCATAGCTTAATTATAGTCTAAACAAGGGAAGGAATATTCATGTTATATCTTGGAAAGGGGCAGTGCTTTCCTGGAATTAGGGTGATGCCCTTCTTTTGACTAAATATGGTCAAAAAGGAAGTGTCATGGTGTCAGGTGCAAGACGGGAGTGGGAGGTTTCCTTAGAAACTTTTATGGTTTGAAGTGTATAAGGAAGCTCTAAGATCAAGAGGTGGTCAAATTCTCCACCATCTTGTTTCTAACCAGTTGTAACTTGTCCTGCCTCCATCTTGTTTTGATCAGGGTAATTCAAAACTTTGTTTTGAGACTTCCTGACTCTGTTAAACAATGCCTGCACAATTAAGCAAATGC